AGCTGCGGTGGGATCCAGCTGACAGGTACACCGTCAGAAAGAAACCGGCCCTGGTTAATTCTTTGGTTGTTATTCAGGTAACAAATACCTTCGTTTTCTTCTACAGAGAAGTGAGTGGGAGGAATGTATTCTGGGATAATGCACGCCGTTAACTTGAATTTAAAACAGAGCTAGGAAAAATTATATAGCTTTATTTTGCTATTGTTTGGCTAAGTCCAAAGTGATACAGCAGTGCCAGTCAACAGATCTGCAAGTAAGTAGTGAGTCAAGCTCTACGAAAGAAATAAGGCCAGCTCCAATTCACACTGAAGTTAATATTTAAATGTAGTTCTTTTTATTTGCTCAATTGTCTCAATCTGAGTCATATTTTCAAAGTTTTCTCTGCAATGTGAGGACCAGAACTTAGTACACATAGATTATATCAATATGTTACATATGAATATAGATGTAGACATACATGGAACCAGATAATGTTATGTAAATAGAAAATGTGAGGAGAGACAGCTTTAAAAAAAAAAAAAAAAAGAGTTAGTAATACTGCAGATGATACTAGTCCAAAATCAAAATTGTCATATCCTGAACAGGTGTTACATCTAGCACACTGGACAAGACATCTGATATCTGAATATGTTCAGGAGCAAAGCATTCAGTCTGTTAAAACAGATTCCCTTGATGTCTGGCCAGTCAAATCTGGCTTATAAATTTATTCATCCAGCTATTGCTTCTCATGGACATCGCTGTCACAGGAGAAGTGTGGGTTACAGACAGAGGTACAAGACATACCCTGGTAGTGCTGGAGGACAAAGAATAAATGCTTCTCAGACAAAGGTTGGTATCTGGAGAGCCCCCTTCCCTCTGCAAGGATCCTTCAAGTGTTTTTAGTTTACTGCTGTCAATACAATATTTTAAGATTGTACCTGGTACTAGCAGAACCCCAGTTCTTGAACCATAGCTGCAGTCTATTAATGGTTCACATGCGCGTCAAACATGGCTGAAATTGTAGCAGACTCATCATGTCTACACTAATTAAAAGATTAATTACATGCAACTAGCCTGTTTCTAGTGCACCAGATGGTTTGTTTAAAGCTAAACCAGCCGTTGCTGTGCTGTACTGTGGCTTCCTCATGGATCACCTTTCTGCTTGCGAAGTTTAGGAAGTGCTTCTAAAATGAATGCGGGTCTAGCTCTGACCTTTGTGAGTGGTCTGTTATAATGGAGGAGGAAGCAGTGATGAAAGCAAATGGTGTAGTACAGTGCTGCCTTACTGGCATCTGCCAGTCAGTTGATCATGTCTGGTGCCCAGTTAACAGCGTAAGGTTTAGTTGCCATCCAGTCTAAGTAAGTTACTGCAGGAGCATCAGGTTGTGATCATCAAAGCTGGACAACGCTGTCACAATATGACACCAAATCTTGTCTTTTATACTATACATCATTCATTGTGGAGGACTAATCTAGTGTACCCTTCTAAGGTCACGTTGTGTGATACTCTAAGAAATACACAGACTATAGCTGGGGAAATTTGCACAATTTTCAGAACCATATGGGGCTGGCAGGGTTCAAAATACTTCAGTTGGCAAGAAATAGATTAGGTATATTTAAGGACATGGTATTCCTTTGCAATATGGTTGCACTATTCACCTCATTGCTTTGTTTGCTGCTGTTTAGAACCGATTAGTGTTATCAGAGACACTATTTGTGGTGAACTGCAGCCTTGTTCTAACATGGAGGGCCCCTTCTAGCCCATGTACAGCAGCAGACTGGAACTGAGGCAGAAATGCAGGTCAAGACCAGGATAAAGCAGTATTACTGGTGTTGAGATCGTAAGCATTTAATAGATGCAGTTGGGATAAACCTGAGTTTGCTTAGGGCAAGGGTAAATATGGTTTGACAGAAACTTCCAATCTGCATTGACACCTTTTTGTCACAGGTTTGAATTCTGGTTACTTGCTGAAGCTTTGCATGAGAGGACAGAAGCAGCAGGAAATCTCTGCCGAGCACTGTGTGCCCAAAATAAATCATCGTACTGCTATGGAAAATTGTTCTGATTCAGTTAGCACAATGTTAGGTTTCCTGGACCCAAGAGTAGAACACAGTATGGAATAGAGACCTAAAGCAAGTGGAGCACAGCAAACAGAATTGTAGGAAATTAGACATGGTTGTTGTTGAGACATGCAGCAAATCTTCAGCTGCCATTTTGTCAGTAAGCGCTGTCTCTAATTAGGCGTGTGGCTGTCTGCGGGGCCCTGTCTTATTGCAGGATACATTTGCATGAGTGCTACAGAGAGGTCTGGGCTCAAAACTGTCTGGGCAGGGGAAAAGTTCTAGTATAAAGGACTGTGTTAGTGTGACTTACGGTATCTCCTCTAGTGCTCTTCCCCACTGGTTCAGCACATAGGCATGAGTGTGCTAAATTTTGTGGTAGGTAAGTTCAGGTATAGATCTGGGTGTTTAAAACACTGAAGGCAAGCAGTGTAGCAGCTGTCCAAGGATGGCCTTTCATCATGCAAATTTATTAGACCTAAACCATTCCTGACAGATGTTTGTCAGACCCATCTGAGCCTCAGTGCCTCCCTGCACTACCTGTGGCTTCACCAACCGTAATCAATAGGCAAGAAACTTTGAGTAACTGTCTGGTGGCCTCTGTTTCATACCACTGCTTATAGAAATGAATTTGTGAATAAGGTTGAGAAGCTACCAGATTTGTATGAAATCAATATTGATTTAGGACTAAAGTGAAACTATTTGAGAAGAACACCTTGTAGGACTGGATTTAGATCTAAGGGGGTGGATATTCCTTGGTGTTATTGTCTAAATCAGCACTTAGTGAAAATACTGGGAAGTTGTCTAATGTACCACGCTAGTACCACATGACTGTGGATTTATTCTGTATCATTAAAAGCAGTATTGAGTTCCATCAATTTCCTGTTTTACAGATGTGAATTTAAATGATCATTACGGCATCACTCCTTTAAGGGTGTTCTCCTAAACAAAGGAGTATTTCTTCTATTCCCCTGTTGCAGGTCATGGCAGAAGAAGAGTTGCCAGGCGTTTTGATTCTGGATATAGGAGGAACTCATGGTGTGCTAGAAAACCTTGCAGCACTTTTGAAGAAACACTTTTGCCTTATCACCATGAAGGAATTTCTTGAAAACAAAAAAGAAATGAGCAAAAAAATCCAATCTATTTTTGTGTTTGAGTGCAGGCCAACCATTAACCAGGAGCTTCTAGAAAGCCTGCCTAATTTAAAGGTAATTGGAAACTCTGGGGTTGGAGTCGATCACTTAGACTTGAAAATGATTTCTAACTTTGGCGTAAAAGTGACCAATACCCCACATGCTGTGGCGGACCCAACAGCAGACATAGGAATGGCCTTGATGCTGGCCTCTGCCAGAAGACTAGTGGAAGGTAATGTTTTAAATTTTCCTGGATCTTAGCTACTTCTTTGGCATATCTCACTTTTACTATGATACAGATGATCTCTCTGAATCAATATTTGGGATGATTTTATGGGGAAAAAATTCTGAGAACTCAATTTTCAGAGGCCTCTGCTTTTCCTATGTCTCACTTCTTTTTAAGGCACTGGTGACAAGAGTAAGGCCTCTGTCTAAATTATGCACTTTAAAGTAACTTGTGATATCCTGTTTGGAATAATATCTGGGCCTTAATTCTCCTCTGGCTGTTCACTGGGTGGGTTGTTTATAGCTGTAAAACCTGAATACAAAATGCATCCAAATCAAATGTCACTACTTCTTCATTTCCGCTTCGAACAAGTGTTAGGAGCTACAGGAAGATACAAAGCATTAATGGCCATATCCCCATCTCTAGAGCAATAATTAGTATAACTCTTCATTTTTTTCCTGCTTCTGTGAAGAGTTTATCTATTTCCAGGAGAGCATCAGCATTATTATTGAAATAGCTGATAATCCTTTTGACAAAGTTATATCCAAACTGTACCACCACCATTAGTTTGTGTCCTTAAAGGTAGGTCCTTTCCCCACGTGCCCTTGCTACGCAATGCCTTTCAGAGAAAGGAAGGTGTCAGTAGAGACTTACCACAAGAAGTTACCGCTGTCTTCAGGGACTCATAGTCTTTGTATCACTGCTGCTCCACCCCTGAGCATGAAATACCACCTCTTTCCCCATGATGTTTTCTCACGATTGCATCTTGCTGGACCTCAGTTTCTTTGTATACAAGCTCATAGAGATCCCTGTTTGAGCTGGAATTTGCAACCTTCACCCCCACTCAAGCAGTGGGGTTGCTTTGGGTTGTGATCCAGGAGAGAAATGGTGAGATTTGCCCCAGCTAAAAAAAAGTGAAGTCAATGCTTGCAGGGTGGTAAGTGTCAAAGAAGCTATTTTTGAACTTCCAGGAAAATACTCTAGCCACAGAAGAGTTAATTCCCTGAGGAGCCATTCCTCCCAGCACAGTACCCACCCGGGAGCCCCACTGTGTTACTGGCTCCAGCCCTGGCTGCAGGGAATGGCACCATTCAGGCCCTTCTATAAACTGGTCAAAATTAGCAAGGATGTTTTGTAAGGGGTGCTCCAGAGCCCCACTGCTGTGATATTGAGAAACTTTTTCTTTCCCCCAAATGTACAGTTACGATCGGTTTGTACCCATTTAGCATGTATTTACATTCAGGCTGCAAGATTGCAGTTTCTCCAGACACGAAGTATTTTGCTGTTGACTGGCTGGGAGTAGAAGTAACCAGAGCGACACTTGGGATTGTCGGAATGGGCAGCATTGGGTACAAAGTGGCTCAGAGAGCCAGAGCCTTCAACATGAGGATCCTGTACCATAACAGGAACCGAAGGTAAAAACATCTGGTTTCTGAATGTAATTAGTCAGGGGGCAGTGACGGAAACCACAGTTCTGCTCTGTGTCCCCAGTCTTCCTAGGCGCTTGTGACAGCTGTAAGCAGCATGAGGAACACAAGCGTGCCACGACTTCCTTGCTTTGGCTCCCTGCTGCTCCCCTTGGGAAGCAGCTCCCCCTTGCCTCCTGTGCTTGCTCTGCCCTGGTTAGCTGCTGGCAGTTTGGAACAAGGGCCATGTAACCTTTCTGAAGATATTGTCAAAGCAAACCAGGTCTTGTACCCTCATTGTGTCCCCTGTCCTGCCAGATTCTTCTTCAAGCTTCTGGCAGGATACCTGGCCCACCCAGCCAGTCACCCCTCTCGGCCCAGCCAGATCACTCATCACACCAGCACCAATGACAAGGGTCTTAACTTCTCTTAGTTTTATCGTTCCCTTTCTTTCAGACTTCACTTCTCCTTCATTCCTTTTCCACCCCAAGTCCTAACTCACATGTCAGGTAAGAAGAGACTTGGCATAGATGCAAGAGAGAAGAGTGGGGTCTGACTGCATCCCCAACCTCCTATACCCAATATTGCCTATGTGCTTTGCTTTCACACATACATCACTCCTTCAGTGACCTGCCACTCCTCTAGCCTCTTGCTCCCTCTAGCCCACATCCTTCCCACCTCCCACCATCTGTACCTATCCACGTCTTTTTCTTTATCTTGACCTCAAACCTCTCAATCTCTATGCTGTTCCAGATCTCCCCTAGGGCTGATTGATTGTTAAAGCCAGTTAGAAATAGTTGTGTCAATTTGGGGATGTGTTTTTTTTCCTTCAGAAGAAAGGAGGAGGAAGAAGCAGTTGATGCCCACTACTGTGAGAAGATAGAAGACTTGCTGCAGCAATCTGACTTTGTTATGTTGGTTGTGAATCTGACTCCTGAGACTCACAAACTGATTGGGAAAAAGGAGCTGGGGCTGATGAAACCCACAGCTACTCTTATAAATATCAGTCGAGGTAGGACAATCTAGAAGCACTGTTTGTGGCTCCACAGTTAAGGTTGTGTTTTGTCTGATTATGTTGACTTTCCCCCCTCCAACCTCAGTCTGTGATGTCCCTGTATTATTTGAGTCGTGAAGTAGCTGGCAGTCTACAAATGAATGACTTGTCATAGATTGGATACCATGTGTTCAAAGGTCCTATGGAATGTAGGGATGCTCAGCAGATGTTTTGTTCTCTTTATCCTTATCCTAAAGACAACGTCTTTTAGTGGAAATAACTCAAAGGTTTTTCATCACCAATGATGAATGGGGTACAAGGGAAAACCTAAGTTTCATTTGGAACACCTATGTAGAAAAGAAACCTCACATGGGATTGTGAGGCACTGAACAAGCTTATCAGATTATAGTTTTACTAAACAAAGCAGACATAAAAGAGTGGAAAGTTTGAAGAGATTAAATTATTTGTCTATAATAATACAGGAAGTCACTGTCAAAATGAAAAGACAGAAGCTGGTCACATCCCAGGAAAAGCCTATGCAGTGGACCATAATCCTCCTCTAATTACAGATTAATAAATAAACTCTCTGTTTGGTTTGGTTAATGGTTATTAGAAAGACGTTCTACTTTCTAACAAGACAAAGATCCTATAATTTTTCTCACTAGACCCTTGAGACCTTTCCCCACTCCCAGGTGAAAACACGTTCATTAACTCATCACGATAGCAAGATTTCATTTCAATGCAGGTGCAGTTATAGATCAAGATGCATTGGTAGAAGCTCTCCAGAATAAGGTTATTAGAGCTGCTGCTCTGGATGTGACATACCCTGAGCCTCTGCCAAGGTAAAGAAACCTGTTTTCCAATTGATGAATCTGAAATGTTTTAAACCGTGAGCAAAAGTGCTCTCAGAATCTTGATCTCAATGGGGAGTCTCTCTCACTGTTTAAGGGTAAGACCTCAGCCTGTTGCGCACAGTCATAAATAAATGACAAATTATTCACCTTTCCCACATCTGTCAGTTCTTTGCCAGCCTGACAGACAAGGCAATGAGACCAATAGAGAGGAAGAAGAAATGGGTAAGCAAGCTTCCCACAGCTTTCTGCTAGTTGTGTGCTTGTAGCCCTTTTATCTCAACATGCCGTTGCTGTTTCCTGAGGTTCAATTCTTAATAACTAGCATGGGATAGCTGCAGAGTAAATTCCATGTGTAATACATTCTGTTCTTTCTGTTTCTTGCAGAGATCATCCTTTATTAAAATTAAATAACATCATCATAACCCCTCACATTGGAACCGCAACAGTCCAAGCTATCCATATGATGGCAGAAGAAGCAATAGCAAATATGCTGGCTGTTCTCAATGGCCAACCCATTCCAAGTGAAGTATTTCCCAACTGATGTGTTCCAGATGATATCACTAAATCACATATATATGGGAAGGCACTAATTCTTACAGTACCACTTTTAAACTAAAGAAAAAAACCTGTTCCTGCACTGCTCATGTTGTTACAATGCCGCAAAGCTGTCATCTCACTAGGCTTGATCTGTACTGTTATTTATAATTCTGAAAAATAAAGTGTAACTAATAAAAGGGATTTATTTGAAGATTTTAAACTGAGCAGTTGTGCACTTTGATATCTTCAGTCCATTATTTCAGTGAATACCTGTGTTCTGTTCCCAGTCATTGCTGCTACATTATGATAAGCAAGTACACCAAGCAGTTTGTGTAACACCCTCAAACATATTAAAGGTGAATTGAGCATCAGTTCCCTGCAGAAATTTGACTCTATGCTGAAACACTTTTCAGCCAATATTGCAATATTCTATTTTTATATCAAAACACTGAAGAAAGCAGACTGCTTTGAAATGATCGTACGCCTAAGGTTTTCTAATGTAAGAAGAGCTCTGCTTCATCTACATGTTAAAGCAAAGCAAAGCCAATTATTGAAAGAGTATCTTTGATTTTCCTGAGGGAATCCTTTGAAAACCAAAGTAAATCCCAAGAGATTTAGTTCCTCCATGCAGACAAAAATGATGTTTTTATCTTGACTGGCCATGAAACAGTGGTAGATCTGCCACTGAAAGCACATGGGTGAGGGCACAGCCTAAAGCAAAATTAGCGATCAGTCCTAACTTGCAGCCCTGAGCCAAGCTTTTTCTTACATTCTCTTTCCTATGAGCAAGCAACAAAGTCAGAAAATTCAGTAAAATGTTTGTCACCTCCATAAAGTCAGAAGCCTTTCCATTATTTTGCAATATGGTCAGATTTCTTGAAGGGGTGGTAAAATGAAGTTTTAGCACAGGAAGCGTAGACAGGCCAAGAGTTAGACATTCAGATGCAAATAGTGAAACACTACTAACAAGACAACAGCAAGTATTGCTACAGGGGATTCCAAGATCTTCAGCCCTTGAACAGCTCTCACAAAATTCCTATGGAAAATCAATGGTAGCTGTAAATAGTCTATTTAAAAAAACCCAAAAAACTGTCAAACACAGACAATCAGTGATTCCTGCAAAAAAACCCCATGTTTTTATTTGAGTGCATAAGTCCTTCTTGGAAAACACTTGCCTAAGCATCTATTATTTTGTTAACTTACGATAGCCTCAGGAGAAGGCACTGCAGTTAAGAAGTCACTGGTGTCTCTTCAGGACAGGAGGCTGCAAAAATCTCTGCAATGAAGGATTTAAAAATTAATCTGGTAACTCGAAGTCCATGATGAAGCTGTGCAATTTATTTTCACGAACTAGATCTGATCCAACATTTTTCTAAATTACTTAGACATGGTAATTTGTGATTTCGGGGTAGGGAAGGAGATTTATTGCAGCAGACTATTGATGGTCTGAAACTAATTAATGAGAAATAATTGTGTGTTATGAGGCTGGTGCCAGTGATATGAAACCTTACAGACCATGAGGAACAGAACTTGTTCAGACTTGATTATGTGTGTGTGTATAATTGGTAGTATACTTGAAAGAGCTGCTTTCTTGTCTTGGTTTGTTTACCTATTTAAATATGTGGTTTATAAGATCTCTTGTTATAGATGTCATGAAACAGGACATGAAAGTGATTGATTATTCTTTAAAATGTCTGGAAATAATTATATGTCTTTCTTCTGACACTTTGTGTCTTTCTTCTTTGTGCAGATCATGGGAGGAGGAGAGCTACCTGGGCTTTTGGTAAATGAAATCGGTGGCATACATGGGATACTGCATGGCCACGTGGCGTTCCTGAAGAAACATTTCTACCTCATCACCATGAAGGAATTTCTTGAAAACAAAAAGCATATGAGTAAAAAAGTCCAAGCGATCTATTTGTGGTGGCACAAACCCATCATTGACCAAGAGCTCCTGCAGAGCCTGCCAAATTTGAAAGTGATTGCGAATTCAGGAGTAGGGATGGATCACCTGGATCTGAAACTTGTAGCTAGCTTTGGTGTGAAGATGGCTAATGCTCGATGTGCTGTTTCCAGCAGCACAGCAGATACTGGGATGGCTTTGCTGCTGGCATCTGCTAGAAGGCTAGTGGAAGGTAACATCTCAATTCTTTTGTGGCTTCTAAAAATCATACAAGATTTACCTAGCATTAACTTGACTTTTCCTAGAGTTATCTGTAGTGCACATAGTTTCACATAAAATGTAAAAATCGAAATATGTTGGGTTGGCAAATAGAATAATCAGTATTTTCATGTATTTTATATATCATAAATATATCTAAATTATTACATCACACACAAACATACATACCACATATTTCAACCAGGTATAAATATGAGTTTATTTTTATTTTATATGAGTTTATTTTTCACAGGTCACCAGCCTGGGTTGAACATACATGAGCAGAATCTAATCACATTCAATTCAAATACAACTTTTTGCTTTATGGACCAAGCAGTCTTAGAAGCTGGAATTTAGTTTTTAGAATAAATATGGCTGTAGACTTAATTTAACAGTTTCAGATGAACAACACACTGAAGTGTGCTTCCTACATATGAAAACTCTGAATTACCTTCTTCAGCAGTGCATTTTCAATGACTCTGACATTTGGCTGACATAAGATGGGCTTCTTGACATAATAGCGTTACAGTACTATTGACCAAAAGTGGGGGATGCCAAAGATCAGACACTCAGATGATTACTGCACTCACATGAAGAAATTAGAGTGTGAGAGGCAACAATGGAGCAGAATAAGGGTATATGCTGAAAGCTAGGGCTGGCAGGGTCATGGGCATATTCTGAGACTGCAATGGACTGGTTCAGAATCGGGGAATTTAAGGGGCATTAGAGAGCAAAAAAGCAGCCTGCTCCATTTTCTGCTAATAGCATCCTTTCTAGTTTCTTCCACAATTTTTCTTGCCATTTGCCCATATAGACCTACCCTTGGCTTGGTTAGAATGTCTCCTGCTTCATGAAAAGATCCTCCAGATTTATGCTATTAAAGGTACCTTTGATTTGCCAGCTGTACCCACAGGATTAATAGAAACTCAAAGGAGGCTTGTCTCCCCCTAAACCTGTTTCTGCCTCACAAGGAGGAGACAGATTAAAAGCAAAATTAATTTCTTGTTGCCATCTACATAAACTATCCCTGGTGGTATTTCTGATAGCTCTGCCCTGGCATGACTGAGCTTAGGTTTTAGAATAAATATGGCTGTAGACTTAATTTAACAGTTTCAGGTGAACACCACAAATCCTGAGGCATGTTTTAATACTTTCACAATATTCTGCATATGTTTTAGAAGAGGTGGCAATATCAGAGGACTGAAATACCAGAAGCCTGTCACCTTGCTAGCAGACTAATAAGTGCTGTCTCTGTGCATATAAGCGTATTTTCTGTGTTGTAGAACTATCCAAAATTCTGCAGGTTTAACATAATTGCGGAAATTACCAAGTAGTGATTTTAATAGAAGTCACACTTTTCTTTCCAATGAGAGTGGCAGAGGTGAACAGGAATCCTGTTCTTATTCTAAATAGCAAAACCAACATCTGGTGTTATTCTCCACATGACATTTTCAAACTCTGCAGTGTTACTGGCAATAATTATTTTGATTGTTGATGCAGAACAGGGTGATATTTTTGTGACTCTAAAGCAGGATTTTTAGGGGAGATTACAACAAAAGATTTTTTGTAGTATGGTGAGAATAAATGGGAATGTCATATACATGTGGCAGGGAAAGATGATACGTTAGAGAATCATCTAGGACATTACAAACACCATTGCTATTTAAAATGGTGCGTTTGTAACCATTAAAAGTGTGCTATGGTAGCACAACAAGCCCAGACTCTTTTGTCTTGTTCCTCTGTGTTGGATTCTGTTCATATCTCATATTGGACTGGGTTTTTTTGCAGGCTATCATGTTGCAATTTCTTCAGGCATGGAGTACTGTGAAGCCGATTTTCTAGGAGTTGAAGTTACTGGAGCTACTTTGGGGATCATTGGCATGGGCAACATTGGGTATAAGATTGCTCTGAGAGCCAAAGCATTTGAAATGAACATTTTGTACCATAACAGGAGACGAAGGTAAAGATATGTCTTTACCCTAATTACAGCAGAAACTCCCTTTTAAATAATCAGTATTTCCTTTTCAAGGAATTATGTAAGGAATATAGCAAAAAATGAGGGAATAAGGCCAAGATTAAAACAAAAGGAAAAAAAAAAAAAGAACGGTTGCCTCAAATCAGTCTTGAAAGGAATTACTTGGTGATTAAACACTTGGAAACTTAATTTAGGTTTTATATTAGAAATTCCAAGGTTTCTTGGAGATGTGAACAGAAGAAGGAAAATCAAGCTTATACCTTTTTTATTCTTATCATATCTTACTATAGGGACACATATTCTACCTTTGTTTATTTTTTCCTCATATTTTGAAGTTCAGGAGTGATCTTGTTGAAACTCTGAGTAACTGGAGAACTAGGCAACATATACTTGGCACAATATGAAAACTGATTAACTTGAGAGTTGTTCTTGAGAAAACCTTGTTTCTCTTCAAACCAGTAGGAATTTTGCCAAATATTTAACTGAATTTCACCCTTTATTTCTAGCCCCTCCCAACTTGTGTATCTGGGAATCCGATCCTTATTAGAGATTTAGCACAGGGGCTCTTCAATGTAAAGGTGAGCGAGATGCCCATGAACAACTCGAGGCCATTTCAATCAGGCAAGATGCAGCCAAGAAGCAGAACAAATGTTTACTGCTATAAACCATGATCTACCCTGAGACAACTTTACTCCTCTCTGACTAAAGGGAGAATCTGCAGTGCTAGTACATGTGGCTGTCAGTGATTTTCTCCATATGCAGACTGCAAAAGGAGGGTTACTGCTCTAGTTAGCCCTAACCAAATCACAAGGGTAGATGAGGCCAGAAATTTCTAGCCTTGCGTGGCAATCCTGTTACTTCAGGAATTATAAAAACTGCTCAGCAAACTCACATTAAAAAAGTACTAGTGAACACCCTCCTTAAGATCTTTCAGAATTTCTTCATAAACCACAAAAAAGAGAAAATAAGGCACAAATTCTTTTTTTTTTTCCCCTGTGGTTCATCACTAACTCCCTCTGTTTAATATTTTTCAGTCTTTAATATTTATGTAAGAGTGCTGAGATGAGTAATCAATGCACTGTGCAACAGAAATTAAAAACCTGCTTATTTTAAAGTACATTTACACTTGAAGCTTATGTGCTGAAGCGAAATGCACTCTGGATGCTGCAAAACTGGCTGTAGTTCCAATCTGTTCTTTACCCACTTAATCTCTGGTTGCTGACCTGGACACTGAAAGAAAACAATGAAATGCATGCGTTAGGAGACACATGGTCCAAAGGTACACTGAAGTTATTTTCTTAGTGTGACTTCTTTCTTTTTTTCTAGATTAGCAAGGAGATAATTCAAAGCCATTCTCTTGCAATTGAGAGCAGAAAATTATACACACACACACAATCTCCTATCGTTGTTTCTTTACTTCCCAACGTTTAGGCAGCTAAATTTACAAAGAATAGGATAAATGGCAAGCTTTTTTTTTATTATTGTGAAAAGTTCAAACTAAAAATCTCTCTCTACTTTGGTAACTTTTGTGTTGAAGACTTCATTTTAGGAAAGTTCTGGGGCAGCCAGGAGCCTGCCAAAGAGCTGCCTTGCCGATTCCACTCATCAGAAAATGACAGGCTTACTGGCGGATGTCAACAGGATGAGGACCACTGGCATGCCCAGAGCTCACATGGATGAGTTCTGGCAAATGAGCTCTGATTTGAGCGATTACTGCATCCTGTGAGGTGCACCTTCCCCACAGGGGATCCAAGAATGGACCATGTGCTGCCATCTCTTCCAGTGCTTAGCCTTAGTCCACTAGCAGACTTTAAAAGAAGCCCCGGACGCTGCACTGCAGTGGCTGAGAGGCAGGCATACAATCCCTTGAAGGCTTGAAGCCTTCCAGAAGGGCCTAAACAGCCAGCTGAGACTAAATTCACCTGTTTGCTACATGAATGTGATAATCAGATCCTCTAGTTTGTATACCAGTGACATCACTGAAGAAAATATTTTCATGACTGATGCCCTGAAATATAGTGCGATCCTTTTTTTCCCCACCAGGAAAGAGCAAGAGGAGCAAGCTGTTGGCGCCACTTACTGCGAAAAGATAGACAACTTGCTCCAGCAGGCAGATTTCGTGATGGTTGTGGTGAGCCTCACACCTCAGACACGCAAGCTGATTGGGAAAAGAGAGATGGAGCTGATGAAACCCACAGCTACTCTCATTAACATCAGCCGAGGTACCATCCAGAACCCTTGACTGGCCTGATGAGAAAGTGTGAGCTGGCTCCTGCTGTGTTACACGCAGCACCATGCTGCATCCACGGCACAGCTGGCGCAGGCACTGAGGACAGATCAGGCATGGTGAAAATTCCTCTCTCTCCCCTTCTGTTCTCTTTTCGCTCTCAGACTGTTACCTGCAAATGGCACTCAGAGACACTTTTATTCCAAACCAGGTGCAGTAGTTGACCAAGAGGCACTGGTGACAGCCCTGCAGACCGGTGTTATCAGGGCCGCTGCTTTGGATGTCACCTACCCGGAACCATTGCCCAGGTTGCCATCTCTGCTTGTTTCTCAGAAACACGCATGAGCCCAGTCAGAGGGAGGCAGGAGGCATGCCTGCAGCAGGCAGGGAGCTAGCAGAGGCATCCCCACCCGCCCCTGGGGTGGAGGTTTGTGTAAAAGTGCCATGAATACAAATGGGATGCAGCCCAGATGTTGGGTCTGATAATAGGCCAAAGGGAAGCCTGGGTGCCAGGAAACAGCAGGAGGGGGCTTGTGTGTCGAGGGGAGCATTAAACCCCCTCCACAGAATCACCATAGGAAGCTGCAGCAGTGCTTCGCTTACAAATTGCTTTATCTGAGGGTGCAACTTGCTGTGAATGGGTGGAAGCTGCCTGAGTCATCCCCTCTTAGACCTGCTGCATTGCCCCGAGGTTTACCTCCCCACAGGCTTGTTTCCCCAATACCAGGCTGAAGTACTGCAGATCTCTTGGGCCCAGAGGCTACTTCGCTTCAGTAAAATCACACCTCTGCCAGAATGGTGCCTCATGGAGTTAACTGTGCTGGCTGCGTTTCAGGTTGGGGGTTGTTTGGCCGTGTGACCAAAGGTCTGTGTGCCAGGGCATCACTGTCCATGTCACAGTCACAAAACTACAGCTCCTACCATTGTGTAGAGTTAATGTGTCAGGAGGGCTTAATCCTCTCTTCTGACATAGCTGAAATTGCCGCCTAATGGCAAAGTCTGTTTTGGGACAAAAGAACACAGTATAAACTCTTAACATGTCCTTTTAATGTCTGAAAATTACTTGAGCCCAGCTGATGGGGTTCTGTGGATGTAAGTGGGGCTTGTAAAGTTATATTAAATTAACTTTAAATACAGTGCAAAAGCCAAAGTAGGACTCCTCTTTATTTGGACAAACAACAGTAGGTAACTTAACTATCTCTTTTTTTCCTTTCTTCCAGAGATCATACATTGTTAAAATTAAAGAATGTCATTATAACCCCTCACCTCGGCATTAAAACAGACAAGGCCACCTACATGATAACAGAGGAAGCAGTTGAAAACATACTAGCAGCTCTTAATGGTCTCCCCATTCCCAATGAAGTGCTCCCTAGCTGACGTGCAAAAGGATATCACCACTCTCTTTTTATTCTTCTCTTTCTCCCCATCAGCTCCAAAGGTTTTTTTATTCTTATGTTTTCCCCATTAAGAGAAACCTGTTCCAAGTGGGCACAGAAAGTTCTGGCTTGGTCTTAAATGACATTAAAAAAAGTTTTTACATTTTAATTTCCTTGCAAATTGGAGGAATACATTAACTTTCACTTCCAACCATAGATAGATGCATGCAGGCTTTAAGTGGCTCTGGTAAAAACAACTTGTGATTGCCAATGCACTTCTTGCTAGGCTCCCTAGTCCTAAAGAAAATGACATTTTAGATTACATAATTCATTTTGTTCCCATTCTGTATTAGCTATCAAAAACAGCAAAGTAAGCTACCTGGCTAGAAATATTACTGATTTTCCTTATGGCAGTCTCCATTTAAACTAGCTCCTGAGACACAAAATGCAGAGACAAAAGTAAGTTTTCAGAAATGTACTCAGAATCACTTATTTAAAGCAGACTGGATTTTAGAGGACAATTTAAAGTACTAGCACGAAGGAAAATTAGTCTTCAAGATGAACATGCTACTGTGTTTGTAATACCAAATTTATGTGCAGTCTACTGCCAGATTTTCAACTTGTGCAAATATTTGGAAGAACACTTGGAGCCTGCTAAGCTTCCAGCACCATTCTGTAAATTAGTGGGAACACAAAAGTCAATAAAAACACGCGCAGCATTAAAATCCAAATCTATACATTTTCCTTTGTATCACTGCTTCTGGACATTCACAAGAATAATTATATTTGAAATTGGATATAACAGGGAGCTTTACTACTGTAAAGAGAAAAAAAATACTTTGGCAAATTGTTCTTGTTACTGAAAAAAACAAAATCCCGTGGCTTTCCTCCACTAGAAATAGCACCTTATATTACAGTTAGTCATTCAAATTCCACAATAAAATGATCTCTTTAAATAGAAGAATGCTCATCCACCTCACTAAAGCTTTGTAGGAAGCAGTTTGCTGTCCTTTCAGTTGTCTTTATGTACTCTCTGTTGTCTTAATACAAGTCCAAAAGACAAATAAACCAATACACAACTCAAAGTGGCAGTGTTGTGCATTTTATTATGTAGTATGACTTCATGAATAGTATGATTATTTAATTTATCAGTAATATTTATACCAAAGTTGCCATTAAGCGCAGCTAGGATTTTGCCTGTAGTCTCATGCATCTTTACAGAGCCATTTCCACTTCTTTTTTCTTGCAGAAGGTTATCACTGGTGCTTGCCAAAAGACACTTCCTTCCACCAGTTTAACATACAATGATGTTACCAACTCTTGCACCTCAGGGAAACAAGACATTGCAGCTTTTCAGGAGCAGCAAGTCGGATGGCAAGAATTTCAAGACTGTTCCAGGTACCTCCCTGTTCTCTGAGGTACAGGTGCCCAGTATGCCTTTTATTGTCACCTGTATGACCTTGACAAAAATAAGTTAAGTTTATTCTTACAAAATAAAGGGGTAAGCAATAAATTACAGAGCTGAAAACAAAGCCACAAGAAGCTAAAATAGCAGAGAAAAAAACCCCACAACCTTTTACTAGATCAATATCCTAAAAAAAACACACAAAGTTTTGCACATGCAAACTTTTCTCCAGATGTGAAGCAGCAAACATAAAAGCAGATACAGCACTTCATTTCAGTTCTACATAAATCAATAGAACATGCTTGGCATTTGCTTGGAGTTTTACTTCTACTTTTGCACGTATTTCAGGAATCTAGGCTGATTAGTTACAAAGGTGCTCCCTGCCAGTGGGGTGCTTTAGACAGGAAGACACAGTGCTAGAAAACAGGGTACCTGTCAGTCATTGGAGTGATGGGTTGACTCACAAACAATACCTAACAACTTGGCATTCCAGAGACTGGAAATCATCACTTGAAGGACACCTTCCCAAAATGTCTTCAGGAAGCTACTACCTCTCTTTTCAAGTTACATTGCAAAAAATGGCCCTTTGTTTCCTCCCTTTCCTTAATCTATAAATACTTACATCAAATAGCATCAAATTAACTGACAGTTAAGGAAACCTTCCTGTGCTTACTAGATGCTGTTTCCAGTCTCTGCTATTCTACTTAGATTGTGCTTGGAAAACACAATACATCCAATCTAATGATTACTAAAAATGGATCCAAAAATGCAGTGGCCACATGAGCAAAGATATGATCCACTACAGTTCACTCCATTGATTCAAATTTGTTTGAAACATTTTGACAGGCAAACAGTACGTGATCTGGAATAAAGCACTGCTACAGTAGTCTACTGGAAAAGCTGGCCTTACCTACAGCAAACAGACGGGTTAGCGATAACACTTCATGATGGTTTAGAGTGAGTGAAATGCAAATGCATCGCTTGGGTTGGCCTTGCCTGAAACAACACACTCATGAATACAGATTTCCTGCCTCTGCTTTTTTTGTCCTATGAATCCTGGTCACATACAATACTGCTTCATAACACATAACGTAGACATGGGAAATGTATGTCCTTATCCACTTTCATGATTAAGCTAGTCTATACATCCCACCTGGGAAATGCATTACACTAAATTATACAAAAGTCTTTTAGGCTAATGCAATACTTCAAAAGTCTTATCCTAAGAAACAATTATTATGCAAGCACCTTATTAACACTGCAGGCATCAGCTTGCCCTGCAGTATTACATGGACACCAGTGCAATATTTAATTCTCTCTCCATACCCACAGACATTATTAATTTCAGAGAACTTTGTCACAATGCTGTGTAATAGATCCCTTTCTATAGTAGAAAACTAACGGCACGCTGCAAGACTTTAATTCAGCTTAACACACTGCATGGAGGTCTATAAGGTACTCTACAAATTAAATCAACTTAGAACATGATAGTGCACTGGTGCAACACTTTCATCTTGTTTTACCTTCATCAGACTTCGCTTGTGGTAACTGTTGTTTGGCTGCTGCTCACACTCTACTCTGTGACATTCTGTGTCTTAGTAATTCAAGCAGCTCTTCAATCACTCAAAATATAAATGGCTTCCTGACCTCGTCTGTCATGTATGTTGCTACACATATACATCTCCTGTAGAGATATAACAGCTCCTGAACCACAACTTGAAAATTAGATGTTCAAGTTACATAAAAAAACAACCTTTGAAGCCATCTGATTCTCTCCGCATCTAACTACATAACACAAATTTTCTTGACATTTTATATGCATGTCCTGGATCTTTGCTTAAAAGAGAGTGACATTCCTTTGACCTTTTTTTTTTTTTTTCTCCTCTGACTAACTGCGCCTTCATTTTGTTCATTCAAATTTGTTGATTTGCTATACAAAGGGAAAAACTACCATGTTGTCCTTCCAAAGTTTTGGGGTTTTTTACCTTCACTGCTAAAATGTGACCTTCTTCCTCGATTCATGGTAAGAATGTGTCTTTGAAAGGGGCTTTACAATGGCCCTTTGACCACAGGTATGGTAACATGAGGAGTAAGTTAAAAGATCACCCATTATGTCTTATCAGCAAACTTGGAAGCAGTTATGTGAAACAGGAAATGTGTAAGCATTTTAGGGTTTGTTGCCTTTTTTTTAAAGAAGAAAATTAAAGTAGACTTAGCTAAGAATCCAGTTAATATGCTGAAACTCCATCTTGCTAATGAATGAATTTTTGCTTTAAAGTTTAACTGTCTGAACTTGAAATCCATGTAAGCAAATGATACTCAAAGATCATCACCAGGACAACAAGAACAATTTATGGTTTTGTGTAATTATTACAACATTTTATTACACTTTATCTTTTCATTAGTAATTTTATAGAGGATTTGGTGTTAAACTTGACTGCCTTAATGTTCGGCATATCAAAATGTGTTTGGTAGAATTCAAGAAGGTACAATTTTGCAACCCATGCTTTTGCAAACCACTGCCATAGTCAGGAGAGACACAGCAGTGCGCAATTGCTGGTTATTTCGTAGCGTGGAAGGAGAGAGATCCCCGGTGCCCGCAGGAGTTGTGTTCGCCGGCTCCTGAGCTGTTCTCAGCACCCACTCAAGTGTCTGCTGCCCACTGGCACAGCAATGGGGCACCTCCAGCACAGGTTTAGCGGACAGAGTACTGAAGCTGTACTTGGCAGCCTCCATTACCGAGAATTTACAGTCCAAGTAACCTCGTCAGGATAAATTTCACGCGTTTCTCATCTGGGATAGGCACCAGGCTGCCTGTAGCCAGAGTAACAGCTGCAGTGACTGAGCACCTGAGCCTGCCCAGCTGCTTAGCTCTTGAGGAGACGTTTTGAGAGTATTCTTAGAATCATTTAGGTTGGAGAAGACCTTCATGTGTGCAGAGATCTGTCCTGGTGTCTGCTGGTCAGAGACAACTCTTCGTGCCACGTTAACTCGTGCACATAGTGTGATGATCAACAGAGAGACCAGACCATAGCCGGTATTCAAACGTAGTATGGACAAAACAACGTGCTTGCCGCTAATGCAAAACCCCGATTATTCTGAAATTGCTAACAGCGCAGAAACACGGTACATTTTTCAGAGCATTCGATTATTCGTGAACACCTGTTGCTCTCTCTCGGCTCCTCCGATGGGTTTGGGGTACACCTCCCGCCGCCCTGGCACCTCCTCTCCTCCCCATTCACCCCAACCGCTGGCCCGCGGAAGCGCCTTTGCGGGCGGCAGCAAG